ATTTTTTTTTTTTTTTTTTTTTTTCTTTTTTTTTCCTTTTATCTATTTACTAATTCCTTGTTTGTTCTAGCTTTAGTGCCAACCTACCTCCTATGCTTTAACATTATTCAGCTTTACCCAGCTCGATTAGCTTTTCAGTTATTTTGAGTAAATGTTACCTTTTTTGTATTAATATATTATATTGTAAATTAAGTTAACTTTTATTTGGTAATAAAGCTTATGTTGTTGTTGTTGTTGTTGTTGTTGTTGTTTTAAAAGCAATTCCACAAAAACATTCATCTTCGGTTAGTTCATCATAGCATTCAAAACTGAGAAAATTAATTGGTTTGGTTCAAGCCATATATATATATATATTGATAATACAACAAAAATATAATCTTGATGGTTCCTAAACAGGTCGATCCAAAACACGCGGCTGGAAAACTTGACAAAGGGTGTCTTTCTTGGACCCCAAAACTTAAAGATTTTGTGAGTATTAAGAATTGTGGAATGAAGGAAACAATGACTTGGGTGTTTTAGTTTAAAATCATCACACCGTAGCAGGCATAACCTGTCTCCTTTACAGTTAAGAAACTTATTACGGTGGCAGTTTTTTCTTACACTATAGGAAGACCTAGTAGTTCCTACTTCTGTCCTCGGACAAGAAACCGTAGGGTTCCTTTTGAAAACAAACTCATAGATATAATAATGCGATCGTAAAAATATTCAGTTTTGGTATTTATTTCATGAATGCTAGGTTTTTAACCCTAAATTACATTTTAAAGCTATTTTTAGTTATAGCAAATCATAGATCTAGAGTAAGGCAGGGTCGTTACTTTATGCATGGTTACTAATTTTTCATGAATAGTTCTTCTTATCCCTTTAGACCCTCTTACATCTGATTAATCTGGGATTGTTCAAAAGAATAGCTTCTAAGATACATGATATTCCAACTCTAACTTAACTTAGACTACGAACAGTCTCTCTATTTTCTTGATCCATCGAGCAAAACGCGAGAGACACGCAAATGACCACGCGCGTTACTGAAGGTGCGAGACGGGCCCTCGTTACTCGCGTCTCTCGACGCTCGAGCGCGCGTGCTCTCCCCTCACCTAATCTGAAGAAAAAGAGAGACTGCTCGCAGTCTAAACTCAACTCGTCTTGGTTTACAAAATTACATGGTTTTGTCGAGCTGTTTCGTGTGACACACATTTTTCAAAAGACATGCACAGTGTAACTAGACAGGTTTTAGAAGGACATTAAGTTAATAATCAGTAAAGGGACAACATTATTTTATTCCAGGGAAGTACGGAATAATTACCCCTCCGGAGGATTTAAAATCGAGAACCGTGCATTTAATAATCTCTCATTAGAATATCTGTAAGTGATTGAATATCAACACCACTTGAAATATATGAATGTTCTCGGACGAATAGGTTTTGGGTTGTCTATCATTTCAATAAAAAGTTCAGCCAGAACAATGGGGCTGGACACAAACGTAGCTCATAACTCGTATACAAGGTGCCCTCCCCTACCCAATATCACAGCCCACAACAGATGGAAGCAAGAGGTTGGCTCTACCAGAAATTGTTACGTCTTACAACAGTCACATAAGCGAAGTTAGTGTTGTGGTACTGCGTTGACAAATTTTTGTTCTTATTCGAAAAGACTGGGAACCCTAACCATCTGCCAATTTGACAACAAATATCGATTTGTCCTCTACTATAGGACCGTGGAGTGTTCCGAACTAGGGCTTACCGCTACGACAGAGAGATTTTAAATGCAATAGCCCAATACTGGCACGTGCCGAATAGCTGAAATTTATAGAGCCGTAAAATATTATTTAGGGCTACTTGAGAGTCAACATACAACTTCTTAAAGTCACGACACTTAACGTCGTCATTATTAATTAATGATTATTTCATTTGTTTTAACAGAGATCTGAGTAACAACAAACTATTATTATTTGAAGAATACAGTTTTATAGGCTTGAAAAGTGTAAAGTATCTGTGAGTATTCGACCTCTTTACCTGATTTACATATGTTTTTACACTCCTATGGGATTAGTGTTTCATGATTATGTAAAATATTAATATTGACAAGAACTGTTAGATTATACGAAATATGCGGTTGGTTCGATTTGAACCGAGATTTGAATAAAAACTGGCCTATCATTTTCTGTGTTCCGATGCCATATTCTATTTACGAGAGCCGCCTCGTGTAGGTTGCAATTTCGTTTGTAAATACCCCGGCGATGCTTTCCCAGCAACTCCTGTTAGTGACGAAGTAGCGACTAATTTTTCCAGCATTTTTCGTGACCAAAAAATATTGATGACGCTTGTTGATTAAGCATATGCCAACGCACCAGTTTTAGTAACCTTCCTTTATAGGAATCACTAGTATATCACTAGTATCCGGCCTTCCAAAAACAACCACGGTATGTGGTCAGCTATGGAGTCCTATACCTGCGTTTTGTCACATTTGATTAAACTGAATGATATATTAAAAGAATAACTCAGCACATACACAAGCATTTCAAAACGTCAGTTACTCGTGATCAAAAAATCGTAAGGAGATCTGTTTGCTGACTAGTTGTAACTATTGTTTTTAGGGATATTTCATACAACAACATAAATTCATTACCTGATGGTATCTTCCGATGGTTCTTTCAACTGCAGTTCCTGTAAGTAAATTTTATTTAAATCTTGCAATAAAAATTTCATGGTGATAAGCAGGTTACAATCTTTGAAGAGATATCAGTAGCTGAAACAGATCTCTTTAGTGTTGGCTGTGTTCACTCAGTTAGCTATAATGGAATCGATTTTTGTTCTTCATAGAATTAGCCAACCTTCCTTGCAAAGACGATTTATTTTTGGATGTGAATTTAAAAGAATAATTTTCATATCAATGACTTCGCATTTGGGCCTTGCTTTTTTCAGCAGAGACCAGAGGCAACTCGGAAAGGACCTATTGATTGTATATGCTAAATGCCTCTTTCTTGTAGGTGTACTGTACTGTATTTCATTTTCTTATTTCGGATTCTCACTGCACGAGAAAACCCTTTTATTCTCATTCTCTTCAGTACCATGAGAAGGCCATTCAATCTTGGCTATACCGGATCAAGTTTTGCACCGCACAGAAACTGATCCGGTATAGTGGAGCTTAATTGCACAACCTTTTTTCTGTGGGACGGGAGGAGGATGGGTGACTATAGTGACATAAGTTAGGAGGCCGAAAAGCCATTTCCAAAAGCCGAATTGAATATTTACCGCCTACTTGCTTTATTGTTCATTCAAACTATTTCCAATCAATTTTGAATGAATGACCATCAGGTTTCAATCTCTTTGTTATCTATTGGAGATATATGAAATGTTGTCGTCGCCAGTGCTGTAGGCAACTGAATTAGTGTCAGGGAATCGATGGGATAGACTTATTTGTTTGATGCTAAAATGAGTAAAGATAATCAGAGCTGTTTTCCTTGCGATATTGGCATATGTTTAAAACCGCATTTTTTTACAAAATGGCAATAATTTCAAAACCCTAAGACAGATTTTTCTCTAACTTCGGCAAATATGCCTCAGAGCTCTCTAGTTTTGTAACTGCAAGTTTGAAGAATACTACGGTCACGATTTACTTCAAACTTGCAGATATAAGACTACAGAGTTCTGAGGCTTATTTGCCGAAGTTAGAGAAAATCTGTCCTAGGGTTTCGAAATTATTGACATTTTTTGGAAAAATGCGGTTTTAAACATATGCCGATATCTCAGAAGCTTTTAAACCTACAGGAAATTAAAGAACATTTTCTTAAAATTCGACCATTCTTTGTAAAGGCCGCCAAAAATAGTGGAGATCGGTTGAATCATTCCTGATGAAAATCGAGATTGAAAAACATAACCAACGCGCATATAAATAGGTTCAGGCTACCTTAATGTGATGATTTATTACCAGAGAAGATCTAACTTGACAGTAAATTTGATATTGCTACTCCTAATGCTATATTTGTTGTTAAGACATCCTCTCTTATTACGTTTATACTGCCGGTTTTGTTAGGTACAAGTACAATTACAATGCACATG